ATTTGTATCCCTTCAATTTCTTTCTTTTGCCTAATTGTTCTGGCTAAAGTTTGAATAGAAGTGGTGAAAACCAAGACAGCATCCCTGTCTTGTTCCTGTTTTTACAGATTATGCTTTCAATTTTTCTCCATTTAGAATGATGATGGCCTTGGGTTTGTTATATAACTTTCACAATGTTGAGTTATGTTCCTTCTATCCCTATATGTTCTAATGTTTTCAACATAAATGGATGCTATCTTTTGTTAAATGCTTTCTGCATCTATGGAATAATCATGTTATTCTTGTCTTTATGTCTTTTTATGTGATGAATTACATTTATTGATTTCCCATATGTTGAGCCATCCTTGCCTTCCTGGGATGAAATGCAAGGCAATCCTGAGAGTGTGCTGGCCACATGGTACATTATCTTTTAAATATGATTTTATATGGTTTGCCAGTATTTTATTAAGAATTGTTGCACCTATGTTCATCAGGGATACTTTCTTCCCTTGATGTGTATTTGTCTGGTTTTGGTATCAGGTTAATACTAGCTTCATAGAATGAGTTTGGAAGGTTTCCCTCCTTTTCCTATTACATGGAATAATTTGAGGAGGATTGGTGTTAGTTCTTTGTAGGTCTGGTAGAACTTGGTTGAAAATCTATTCAGTCCTGGACTTTTCTTTGTTGGTAGGCTTTTTGATGGCTTTTTTAGTTTCATTACTTGAAACTGATCATTTGAATTTTCTCTATCTTAGTTGTTCAATTAGGGTAGGTGATATATCTCCAGGAATTTGTTGATGTCTTCAGAATTTTCTAGCTTAATGAAGTATAAATTTTTAAAATATTTTCTGATTGTCCTCTGTATTTCAGTAGTGTCTGTGCCAATAATTCCTTTTTCATCACAGATTTTAATAATTTGAGTTTTTTTACTCTTTCCTTTGGTTAGCTTGGCTAAGAGTATCAATTTTGTTTATTCTTTCAAAGAACCAACTTTGTTTTGTTGATTTTTAAAATTTTTTTAAAAATCTAAATCTCATTAATTTTGGTTCTGATTTTATTTCCTGTCTTCTGATTTTGGTGTTGATTTGCTCTTCTTTTTCTAGGGCCTTGAGCTGTAGTGTAAGATTATTTATTTGGTATCTTTCTGTTCTTTTAATATATGCACTCAATGCTATGAATTTTCCTCTTTGAACTGCGCTCAAAATCTTCTCAGAGATTTTGATATGATATAACATATCAAAATCATATGACATACATATCATATATATTCTGATTTACTTCTAAGTATTTTAAAAATTTTGCCCCTGATTTCTCTTCTGTTATTCATTCATCATTCAATAGTATATTATTTACTCACCAGGTAATAGTTTCTTTTTATCTTACCATTGATTTCTACTTTCATTTCATTATGATCTAATAGAATGTGAGGTACTATTCTCTATTATTTTGTATTTGCTAAGAATTTCTTTTTGGCCTAAAATATGGTCTTTCTTAGAAAATATTCCATATGCTGCTGAAAAGAAAGTATATTCAGTTATTGTTAAAATATTCTATATATTTCTGTTAAGTCTAAATTGTTCGATTGTATTTTTTTAGTTCCATAGCTTCTTTAGTTTTTGTTTGGAAGATCTATGAAGTGATGAGAGATATGTTAAAGTCACCCAGTATTATTGTGATGTGGTCTTTTGTTTCTTGTTATTGAAAAGGGTTTGTTTGATGTATGAATGTGCTCCATTGTTTAGGGCATAAGTATTTTTGATTGTCATTTCTTCTTGTTGTGTGATTCCTTTAAGCAGTATAAAATGACCTTCTTTGTCTCTTCTGATTAACTTGAAGTCTACTTTGTCTGATATGAGAATAGTAATCCCTGCTTGTTTACGAGATCCATGTGAATGATCTATTTTTTTTCCCATATTTTCACTTCAGTCTATTGATGTTTTTGCCCTATTGATGTTTTGTCTCTTAGAGACAGCATATTGTTGAGACTTTTTTAATCCAGTCTGCCAGCCTATGGCTTTGGATTGATGAGTGTAAAAGACCATTTACATTCAGTGTTCTTTTTGAGATGATTTTTATTCTCTGTCATTTTGATTTATTTCTAGTTTTTAATTTGAATTAATTTCTTCTTTGATTCATTCTTCTTCTAGTGTAGTTCTTCCCTCTACTACTCTACTATTTTATTTTCATGAAATATTTTATTGAGTATGTTTTATAGTGTAGGCTTTCTAGTTGTGAATTAATTTGTGTGTGTGTGTGTGTGTGTGGTGCTGGGGATTGAACTCAGGGCCTTGTGCATATGAGGCAAGCACTTTACCAACTGAGCTATATTCCCAGCCCCCTGTGAATTCTTTTTTATTTTTGTTTATCATGAAAGATTTTACTTCATCTTCAGTACTGAAGCTTAATTTTGATAGGTATAGTATTCTTGGTTGGCATCCATTTTCTTTCAGAACTTGGTATAAATTATTCCAAGACCTCCTAGCTTCTAGACCTCCTAGCTTCTGGAATGCTTTACCTCTAAATATGAACAATCATTTTTCTCTAACAGTTTTTAAAATTCTATCCTTATTCTGTATGATAGGTTTTTGTAACAATGTGTCTTGGGATGGGTTTGTTGTGATTTTGTATATTTGGAGTTCTGTTTGCCTCATATTTGATTTTCCATTTCATTCTTAAGGTCTGGAACATTTTCTGATATTATTTTATTGAAGAGATCGTACATTCCTTTGGTTTGTATTTCAGAGTCTTTATTTATCCTGGTGAATCTTTAAAGATGGCCTCTAATGTTATCCCAACTTTCTTGAAAATTGTGCGCATGGTCTTTTAATATCTTTTCTTTAAGAATAACTTCATTTTCAAAATAATGTGTTTTGACTTTGTTACCTGAAACTCTATCTTCTAAATGGCTTAATCCATTGTTGATGCTTTCCATCAAACTTTTAATTTGCTTTATTGATTTCTTTATTTCAAAAATTTCTAATTGATTTTTCTCCAGAATCTCTATCTCCTTTTTGAAATATTTTCTCTGTTTTACTTCTCATGTTATCTTTTACGTTGTAGATCAGTTTAACTACGTGACTTTGTAAATTCCTTCTTTGACATTTTCCCCACTGTGGTGTCAATGGAGTTCATTGTTGAGGCATTCTGGGTTGTTTGGATGTTTTTTTTCTCTTGCTTTTTCATATTGTTTGCTGCTTCAGCTCCAGGGTTCCTACCCTAAGAACTTAGTAATGTCCTGTTGGTTTCCATTACCTCACAGATTAGGGGAGAGAAATAATAGTAACAAACCATGCAAACAATATACAGCATTAAACTAAGCACTTGGTTCTTACTATGACATCTACAATATTAACTGGTATAATGAACAGAAGTAGTAGGATCAGCAGTTTACTAAAACAGTAAGAATCGTATTGTGTCTGGCATAAAATCAAACCAGGTGTTATCTATGATTTCTGCAGCATTGTTACAGCATTAGTGTTGGGAGCAGATGTTATATAAAACAATTATTGCTAAAAGATTTTAAGACTAGAATTAATTAGGAAATAAGAAGAGATAGGTGGGTTGAAAAGAGTTTGCAATTTCAAAAAGTGAACAAGGAAAATAAAGAGGAAATGTTGGATGTGGTAGTTATGAGGTGGGGGGAGAAAATAGAAGTAAAAAGTAAAAGGAAGAATGTAAGAACAATAGAATTTGGCTGTCAGCAAAAGAAAAGAGAGAAAGAGGAGCAAGGGAAACAGACAAGTGAAAAACAATTCAAAACAGTCAGTATACTAATGGAAACTCTAACCCTCAAAGACAGAGTAGTAACTACCTTCAAAAAATTCTAGAAATGAGAAGATAAAAACAAAAATATATAAATGTCCATGAATCACTTACCACACACACGCACAAAAGAGAATCTGGATGAAAAATTAAGGAATAATTTCCATGTCCGTTGACAAAATAGTCAATGAGGAAATATGGTAGCTGTCTGTGCCCAACTGTCTTTCCATTTCTTCTTGAGATATGCCCCAAGTACAAGAGTAGGGGCAGCAGGCTATCAAATCCAACCCCCCCCCCCTTTTTTTTGTTTTGCACCAAAGTACCAGTTGAAGTTCACAAATTCTCATCTTCCCTTTGGTGGTATGAAGTAGGGCGGGATGGGAAAGTCACTGCTAGGTTCTGTGAGAGGAGTTCCTATAGGTAGAGCTCCCAAAGATGGAGCTTAGGTCTAGTGAGGCCCCACTTGCTTTAATGAATGGCGAGCAGTTTGGAATACCAAATCAATGTACCTCTAGGGTGCTGATCTATGCTGGGATACTGTACCCCAGTAGTCACCTCAGGATTCCACTGTAGGGGAGGGGAGCCAGTCCTTCAGCTTCTGTTGCCTGGAGAATCAGCCTTTACTGGCCTCTTGGGCTTTGTCCCCAAGTGTGGTCATACCTGCCCATTAAAATTCCTGAACCACTTCAGTTGGTTCTGTGAGTTGCCGGATTCAGACAGAGGAAGGAGCTGGGCTCTCTATGGCCTCTCAGACTTGTATTCTCCTGGGCAAAATAGTCTCTGCCTATTTTTTCTCCATGGGTTGTCCCAGCTCCAGTCTCATGGATCCTAGTTCCTGGTTCCTGTGGGTGCTACTGCAGTGTGGATGCCTCAAGATGGTTCCTGCCTCAGTTCTCTGTGGACAATTGGGAAAAACAAGGCATTTTTCATGTACCAGTTTATTGTACCGTCCAGCCTCTGAATCGGCCTAGGGCAGGCTGCCCCTGCAATCCCAGGTTTTTCAGTACTAAGACCATCCTTTGTATTTCTCAGTGACTTCCTTCCTTCTGTGCTAATGCCAATGCTCCCCCAAGCAGCTTGACTCCAGTGTTGTCCCTTTTCCTTATTAATGTTCCCAAAATTTCTTAGTCTCTGAGGTACTCTGACTGCCCAATATTGAGTTTTAGCAAAATCCCTCTTTCACTCACCTCACAGAGAAACAGTGTCTCCTAAGTAAACTTTTAAAATCTTAACTGCCTACTTTTTTTCTTTCCCAATAGCCACAATATGAGAACACTTCACTCCAGACTCCATTTTCGGAGCAGTCAGTGTTGCATCCCCAGCAAGAGGAACTTGAGCAGAAGCTTGCATCTACTGAAAAAGAGGTTTCACAGCTCAATGAATTTCTCAAGCAAAGAATAAACCAATTCAGTGAAGAGAAGAAGAAACTGGAGGAAAAGGTGTGCATTTTTTAAAAAATTGTATTATTAGATCAACAGCATTTTTTCAACATAGAATATTTGTCATGCCAGGTTACATTTATATTAAAGTATTTAATGTTGTACCAACTTTTGGGAAACACTGTTTACTTGTAAAAAAATTATTTTCTTGAGGTATAAAAATACCTCTGTAGGGCAGGGGTTGGTAGCTCAGTAATAGAGTGCTTACCTAGCAGGTATGAGGCACTGGGTTCAGTCCTTAGCACCACATAAAAATATTTTTAAAAACTCTCTGTATATGATACTTTTCTAATTAATAATGAGATCTTTTTAAAGTCAGTTCCTGTACCAATAACTTCCTTTTCGCTGGTTGAGTATTTTATTCTTCCTTGTCATATTGAACGGAAAGCATTAGAAAATGAAATGAAGTTGATCTTTCATTCATAAGGACATTTTTCAAGTTAAAAAGCTGAATTCCCTAAAAGCCAAATACATACACATGTACACACACATACTTAATTGACCTTTCTGCCTTTATTATAAGTAATTTCACATATTTCATCACATTCCATTATTGTATTATTAAAGATCAAGTAGAACACAATAAATCTTCAATTTATTGAAGAGAAACAGCACAGATTCTTTGACTGCTACTTAATGGCAAAACTGTTTTTTTTTTTTTTACTTCAATCTTGATATTCCCGGCTTATTATTTTATTAAATGAGCCTTCCATTTAAGTAATCTTGGAGCATCCCATGATTTATGCAGGCAGACTGCATAAACTCAGTTGATAACTTTGTGAGTGTATGTGTGTCCATCATTTACACATGAGTTGAAATTTTCATCTTCCCAAATTGATAAAAATTTATATTTTCTCTGTTTTTCGGCTGTATGATATCTTTCTTGGCTAATCTAAAAGTACCTTAAATACCTCTTTTTTCTTTTCTGTATTTGGGGAACATCATAGAATATACCACACAATCCAAGGGAATAAGGAAATAGTCACTGGTTATGTGTGAGAGGAATTAAAATAGTCTCTTATTTGAGACTTTAATTTAAAAGTTGTCATGAATGAAGATTTTTAAATACTTTCTTAGGTTTTATCTAAATTTTCTCGTATTTTATTCGTTGTGCTCAGTGCTTAATAAAATAAATTTATACGCTTTCTACCTATTTGATATCGCGTATTAGGATGTCTCATAGGTACTCCAAACTTTTCATGTCCAAAGCACAGTTTTTAATTTGCCTTCTGACTGCTCTACTCTCAAAACAAAACAAAATTTTCTTCAGTGTTCATTTCTATATATTCATTTACTCATGCTGGAAACTTTACAAAGTCTAATTAGGAACCTTGCCTCCTGAATATATATAAAATCTTTCCAAAATTAGCAGCGTAGTATATAGTACAGTATTATTCATCTCATGGAACTGAAGTTATGTAAACATTTCTCCCTCCCCCAAGCCCCTGACAACCACTGATTGTACTCTTTTTTTTTTTCCAGTCATCTCATATTAGTAGAATCATACAATATTTGTCCCTCTCTGACTGGCTTATTTAATTTAGCATGATTTTCTCCAGATTATCTGTATTTTATAAATGGAAGAATTTCTCCTTTTTTTGAGCTTGAATTATCTTCCATTGTATGTGTACAGCATACCACATTTATTTTATTTAAATGAAATTTATTTTTAACTGATACATTAAAACACATCATTTTTCTTCTCATTCGTTCATTAATGAATATTTAGGTCTTTCCCACATTTTTTATTATGCTTTTGTTGCCTGTGCTTTTGGTGATATATATAGAAATCATTACTGTAAATAATGCTGCTCTGAACATGAGAGTGCAAATATCACTTTTATTCCTCATGTCAGTTCTTTTCCATAAATATCCCAAAATTGGAGTTTTGGATTATATATTTTCTTTTTGATTACTGTTTTTCATAGCAGTTGTAGTTGGACACAATACCTTTATTTTTATTTGTTTTTATTTTTATGTGGTGCTGAGGATTGAACCCAGCGCCTCGCACGTGCTAGGTGAGTGCTTTACTGCTGAGCCACAGCTTCAGCCCCAAGGGTTAAATTTTTTAACTTGATATCATCTTTTTATTATTTTGCCTGTACTTTTGGTGTTGTATCCAAGAAATCATTACCAAGTCCGATGTCAAGAAGATATTCCTGGGTTTTCTCCTAAGAGTTTTACAGTGTCTGATCCTATATTTAAAGTTTCAAATCAATTTTGGATTTATTTTGAATTTTTTTTTTGTGTGTGAAGTGCAATAAAAAGATCCAGTTCATTCTTGTTCATGTGGATATTGAGTTTTTTTGACACTACCATCTTTCCCCATTGTCAGATTTTTAGAATCTCTGTCAAAAGTAAGTTGACCATCTATATGTGGGTTTGTTTCTTGATTCTCTGTTCTGTCCTGTTGGTCTATGTGTCTGTTTTAAAGCCATTACCAAGCTTTTTGTGATAATGTGTTGGAATCTGGGAGTATGATAAACTCTGGCTTTGTTCTTGTTCCAAATTGTTTTTGTTTTCAGGGTTTCTTATGAATTTTTGAATTGTTTGTTTTCTGTTTCTCTGAAATATGCCATTGGTATTTTTGTATGAATTTTATTAAATGTGTAGACCACTTTGATTGTATGGACATTTAGGTAATAGTAATTCTTGCAGTATATGAACATAGGATGTCTTTCCATTTACTTATGTCTGCTTTAATATTTTTATTGGTGTTTTATAATATTAAGTGAGTAAGTCTTTTATGTCCTTGGTTAATTTTATTCTTTTTTATTATTCTTGATAGTATTGTAAATGAGATTTTTTTATATATACAAATACAACTGATTTTTGTATGTTGATTTCACACCTTGCAACTTTGATGCATTTTTAGTTCTAACAGATTTTTTAGTGGAGTCTTTAGGCTAAAACTCATGTGTGCAAACAAACGTTTTGCAATTTAAGTTCTTTCTGATTTGGATGCTTTTTTATTTCTCTTGCCTAATTGCTCTGGCTAGAACCTCTAGTACTGTGTTTAATAGGTGTGGCAAGAGTGGGCACCTTGCCTTGTTCCAGATTTTTTAAGGTAAGCTTTAAGTTTTTCACCATTTTTAGTATGACAATAGCTATGGGCTTTTTCATAAATGTCTTTGTGTGTATGTGTTAAGGTAAGTTCTGTTTTAGCTAATTTGAGAGCTTTTATCATGAAAAGTTGTTTAATTTTGTCAACATTTTATACATCTATTGAAATGATTACATCAATTTAATTTTTCATATTGATAATGTGGTATGTATCACATTAATTGGCATATATTGAACCATCATTGCCTTGCCAGGGATAAATCCTGCTTATTCATGAAATATGATCCTTTTAATGTGTTGTAATTTTGTTTAATAGTTTTTTATGGAGGATTTTTTAATCTGTGTTCATTAGGGATTTTGGCCTGTAGTTTTCTGGTAGTATCTTTATCTGACTTTGATATCCTGCTATTGCTGGCCTCATACAATGAGTTTGGAAGAATTTCTTCTGTTTTTTTTTTTTTTTTTGTTGTTGTTGTTAATTGGAATAGTTTAAGAAGGAATGGTATTTATTCTTCTTTAAATGTTTGGTAGAATTAACTGGTCTTGGGCCTTGTTCAGAGGTTTTTTTGTTTGTTTGTTTGTTTTTTAACTACTTCAAGTTCCTGGTTTATCATTGATCATTCAAGCTTTCTGTTTCTTCTTGATTCAGTTTTGGTAGATTGTATGGTTCTAGAAATTGTCATTTCTTCCATGTTGTTCAATTTGTTGGTATATAATGTTCATAATAGTACCTTATGATCCTTTTTATTTCTGTAGCATAAGTATAACATTACTTTCATTGTGATATTATTTATTTGAGTTTCTTTTTATCCCCTTAGTTTTACTAAGGATTTGTTCATTCTTTTTTTCTTTAAAAAATCCAACTCAACTAGTCTTATTGGTTTGTATTGTATTTTTTTTTAATATTTTTTAGTTGTAGATGGACACCTACCTTTATTTTTCTTTATATGGTGCTGAGGATCGAACTCATTGCCTCACCCATGCTAAGGGAGTGCTCTACTACTGACCCACAACCCCAGTCCCTGTTCTATTGTTTTTGAAATCACTATTTCTTCTAACTTTCGGTTTTTTTTCCTTCTGCTAATTTCATGTTATTATTTCATTGAGATAAAAGGTAGGTTTCTTGTTATAGAATTTCTTCCTTAATGCAAACATTTTAAAATATAAACTTCCCTCTTAGTAGTGCTTTTGATTCATAAGTTTTGGTATTTTGTTCTTTCATTTTGGTTTATTGGAGATATTTTCTAATTTCAGTTTTAATTTCTTTTTTAACCCAATGATTATGTAAGATCTTGTTTAATTTCTACATACTTAAGAATTTTCCCATTTTCTACTGTTGATTTTTAGTTTTATTGCAGTGAAGTTGGGAAAGACTTTGAATGATTTCAGGGTTTTTTTGTTTGTTGGTTGGTTGGTTTGTTTTGTTTTTTTCTATACTGGAAGTTAAACCCAGGGATGCTTTATCACTGAGCTGAGACAGGGTCTCACTAAATTGCTGAGGCTGGCAATTGTGATCCTCCTGCCTTCAGCCTCCTGAGTTGTTACTATTTCAGGCATGCACTTCCACGTCTGATGATTTCAGTCATTTATATTTTTTAAGTCTTGATTTTGTGACCTAGCATAGTCTATATTGTGGAAAATGTTCCATGTGCACTTGAGAAGAATGAGTATTCTGCTGTCATTGGGTAATATGTTTTGTATATATCTGTTAAATCCCTTTGGTCTATTGTATTGTTCAATTTTGCCCTTATTCTTTTTTCAGTTGGGACTATCCATTATTGAGAATGGGTTATTGAAGTCCGGTAGTTATTATCATATTTTTGTTTATTTCTACCTTCACATTTGCCAATGTATTTATGTGTTACTAAATTTAGGTGTTTTGGTGTGGGGGGAAAATGTATATATTTTTAATGCTGTTGAATTGACCTTCTTATTAC